AATGGGTTGCGCTTTTGACGTAAAGGAGGACGAGCAAAAATTATCTCAGCATCATTTAATTAAACCTATATAGTTTGTTCTATTTTTCTTATTCACATCAACCTAACAGGATGATCATATCTCAGAACGAAAAATCTAAATTAAATTTTAAAAGGTTTTGTTTTAATATCTTTATTTTCCATGATAATAAATATCATAATATAATTTTTACATTGCATTTCGGAAATATTATTGTAAATTCAATAATATAGATGCAAATAGAAATACTCGAATATGTTAATGTCTATTTATCCTATCACAGAAAATTCTATGTCCAAGTTGTTCAAATATCTATAACTGTTTGATTCAGTTAACAATAAAAATTAAACGTATTATATTATAATAATATAGGATTAGAGGAGCTTTAGTTATGGCTTAAATGTACTCTGTTACAAACTCCACATTTTTTTGTCTTCTCGTTTGTTGCCTCCACAATTTGTGGAATTTAATGCACGGAGAAGATATGAGCGGAGACATTTTCCTTCTAAAAATATGTTGGATTGCAAAATAAAAGCGGCTTAGAGGAATTCCTGCAATTCAAGGGATGCTCGCCTATCTTAGACAATTGTTAATTAACGCTCGGCAAATCGATGAGCATTTCCAAAACAAGGAATCCATTAATTGCTTCCAAGTTGGATTGCATTCGCCCACTTGAATACGATTGCAGCAGCCTAGGTGTGCCTCATACCATTAGCAGGAACTGCTTGTTAATAAAATAATAGGTGTATGCTCCGGGAAAGCTTCTCCAGTTTGCGTATTCCCAAAACCAAACAATCTTAACGGTATGAATAGCAGCAGGTTACGTACCCAAATTAAAACTATTGAAGCTATCCGAAGCATCCAAGTTATTGAAAGCGAAGGCACTTTAATACACTTAGCGCAACGTTCACAAGTTCAGCGTTGCGTGTAATTCCAATTATCTTAATTGAAAACGCGAATTGAGTTATCTCAATTCAAGTTTTGAGTAACGCAAACAGCGGCCGCGGCCAAAAAGTGGCCAAGAAAAATAAGGACGATAAGTCCTGGGGATGAGGGATGATAGAGACGCGTGAAGAATGACCACCACAGTTCTTTAACTTATTTTCTTCTTCTCCTACTCCTCCTCCTACTACTACTTTTTTTTCTGCTTGCTTGCTTCTACTGCTATCTTCGTTCCTCTAACGCACACACTCTAAACGCCCCTAGTGAAATTGATGGATTGCACGTCAGGTTTGGAAATAGTATAGGGCAAAAAAAATACGGGCAGTCGAAAAAAGGAAACCGCTGCATTTACAAATCGAAACACTATCACGGATTGAGATATATCTGTGTTTTATAGCCTCCAGAAGCAATTAGTCACGATCCAAGATCGAATCTAATGTGGTAAAAAACCTTACCAATTTGAGAGATGGATTGTCCCTCTGTGCCTAACTTTCTTTTAATCTCTAAGGAGATAGCTTCTAAAAGCTAACAATATAATTAATTAGATGAATTCCTACGATTTGTGTTTTTATAAAATTGTTAATCGATAATTCCTAATTTAGATCATTGTAGCACCGATTTTTGCCCCCTAACTGCTATTTGTATCTTACACAATACGATTATTTCTTTATTTTTTATTACACCTAACACTTTTGTAGAACAACGTAAACCCTTCATAAAACTAAGTTGAATTCACTAAAATTACAACAGCTTTCAATCTTTTACTTATTGTGACTAATAACTTTCTCTGTGAAAATTGTCATTCACTGTCACTTGTCATTCAATGTCACTTGTCATTCACTGTCACTTGTCATTCACTGTCAATATCACTTGTCATTAACTGTCACTACTTATTCACTGGCAATATCACTTGTCATTCACTATCAATCTCATTTATTTAACTTGAATTGAAATGTACTTCTGGAATCTAACCTAAGCTATTGTAATACTCCTTTAATACAGTATTAAGAAACGAATAAACTAATTTATTTTTGATTCTAAATAATGCTAAATTAATTACATAATTTCTAAAAATAACAAGTATCTAAACTTATTCTCTATGAAAAATGAATGTTTTAAGTCTAACTTTTTTTTACAGAATATTATTTACATAATCAAGTATTTTCAAAGACGAACATCATCTACATATTTTTTTTTATCTAAGTTTGTTAAAATTACATCTATATATTGCCGGAATCCGTGCTCATTTGAATGCGTATTTTCTTTGCGAATAAATTTTCCTCATGTGAATGAATTAGGTTTGCGAAATGTTGCGCTTCGTTTGAGCAATTTGATTCCACTTCGTGTATTTTTTTTCTCCTACTAGCGCTCTTTCGGGATAAGTAATATATGAATAAATAATCCTGCCGCCGGAAGTAGAACAGAAAGTGCAAAAAAAAATATTGAAGTATATAAGAAAGGGAAGGAGACGTGAAAGAAAAGGGCCGTAAAGACTTTTCGGTGGTCGAAGTATAGAAATTCGTGCCATAACGTCAATATACATTTCCTACGCCACTGCAATCCCCCAAAAACTTCCCCCTTTTTATATATATGTATTGTGCCGGGTCAAAGGACATGAATAAAATATAGACTACCGACTCTAAACCGAATGGGCTCAAGAATAAAAGGGTGCCCTTTTCGCCACCTCCGAAGCACCCTGCCTGTATTTTTTTTATACACCCTTGGCCGCACACATTCAGAGGTTCTTAGAGACAATAACAAGGTCCCATCCGGATGGATTCAATCCAGATTTTCCGCGCCGAATAATTCATTGTTGTGCAACTCGCCATTCCGGGATTTTAAATAATTAAAAGGTAAGGCTTGTTAACAACACACTGTCAACTGATAGAAGGGCGCGTCGCGCCTTCTTTGTGTATTATTGATTTGGATCAATTTAAGTATATGAAATGTTTATATAAAAATAAAACAATTTAATGATCTCATAAAATAAATTTGAAGCAATAATAAAACATTTAACTTTAATAAATTTAATATAAAACCATCTTTGTTAACCTCACTTTTCACTAAGTAATTTTCATAAAATGTAAAAACAAATACGATTACAGTCAATTGATTAAAGTATGCAAGGTACGCCGGACAACAATTACATTTATGTCTTCTTCTGCGCATTATCTACTTAGTGACCATTATAAAAAAATGCGAGCGCATCTCGTTTTTGAAACTAAGTAAAAACATTCTTATTTGTATAGGATAATTCAAGTAATTACGATAAATATTCGTAAGAAATGAATTAAACAAACTTTAATTTGTATAAAAATCATCTAAAATTTTGAAATAAAGAAAAATATTAAAAAAAAATGTATTGATCTAAAATAATACTCAGTTGTAAAATAAACAAAATTTGTCTAGAAAAATATGCGTTTACAGAAGAAAAACTGTCGACTTATTCGCACATAATAAATATGTATTAATTTTCCCCTCGATGCTGTAATAAATATTCATAAATTGGAATGTGGACTGGGAAAAAAGACAGTCGTATGTCTATGCACATACACGTTCGTCCTCGCGGTAGGTGGATAAAAAAAAAGTATGAATATAGGAAGAGGAATGCAAGGGTATAAATAAAAGAGGAATGAAATTCACATGTGTGTGAGAGCGTTCTGAGCGGAGCACGCGATTTCCCAGGTGTTTCAAGGGAAAATAGATATACACACACATACGCTGTTGGGGGAGAGAAATATAAATTGTATTTACGGATTCTTCTGTGCTGAATTATTTACACACATTTTCCAACTTTCCGATTATCAAAGCAGAGAACTGAACCGCAGTGGAAAGTAACACGACTGTAAATTATTACGACGGACAATTGAATTGCCTATTTTTTGTTAAATTCAAGCTTTTTGAAGAACAAATATTTTACAAGCAACAATCGAAACAAAAAGCAAACTAATACAATTTGTTTCTTATTAATTAAAAAAAAAGTTTTTATAAAATTAAACAAACACTTTTCAATTACGTAAAATTTTATACTGTAAAATTAAAATTTTATAATTTAAAAAATAGTTGACAGAGTGTCCTATGTTAGTAGAAATAAATTAATAAATAATTACAAATAAATAAAAATATATTTAATTTATAAAGACAATATTATTTCTATATTTAATTAATATTTTGATGTTATTAAAAATACTAAAATCTGCTTAAAGAATGTTTCAAATATTAATGGATGATTATATAATCTCGGTAAAGAATTACGGACATTTTGCCCGAAATGCGAATAATTTACGAGGAATTGCTAACGAGCCGTCCCAGGGAGTTTTCCCCATGATTTTGGGCCACGAATCGAATTAGAAATAATTTACATTACCCGTGAATTTATTATCGTGCCAGTATTAAATTTCTGTTAATAACCGTCGAGATTTGGGATTCGAGCAGCTCCTATAAAATAAAAGCCGAACAATAATAGAATTTGTCGCTCCGTTATGTAACTCGATTCGAGCGCGATTTACGCGAAATGAAGAGAAGGAAAACAAAATAAAAAAGGAATGAAGCGTTCCAGTTTATTTTCCACGCAGGTAAAAATATGTTTGTGCTGCGGTCTAATTAGCACCGACTCTGAACTGACATTTCAAAATGTCCTCTACAATTATAATGAGGCTGTTGTTTGCATTACACCCAAGTGTCCTTTAAAAAAAACGTAAGCCGAATCTTTAATGCTGAAAGCATTTATTTCCTTGATGCGGAACGTAAACTCCAGGAAGAGGAAGAGGAAAGTTTTAATTGGCTAGTGTATATTTATTATACTACTCTCTTTTTCCAACTCATCCTGCTGTTCTTCTTACCCGAAGGTGCACTTCTCAGCATTATTTTCTTTCCGAACCTCCTTCAGGCCAACTTCCCTGCTGCGATGCACATTATTTAGGCTTCCCCGGAATTCGCATTACCTGCTTGTATTTCCTGAATAAAATTTATTTGCTATGCAAATAATGCGATTCCAGACTCGCGTTCCGCCTTAAATCAAGTTGCGTTTCTTTTTGCAGGATGGACGGACAGAAGCACGGACTGTGGATCAGCGTGGTTTTTGGAGGTCTCAGTATGTTAGCTAAGGAGACTGGTATTACTGTTTTTGTTCTGAATTTGGCTTATGATATTTATAAGAGTTGGCCTTCCTTGAAAAAGTGAGTGTTTTAAGGATCGTGTAATTTGCAAGGATTTAATTGAAATGTTTTGCAGGACAATGTTCGAGGTGAGATGGTCGAAGGAGACTCAACAGTTTGCCAATCGCGCAGCGAAGGTTCTCACATCGGTAAGCCACACCGATTTTCCTTCCTAATTGATGCAATAATCATGAAAATAAATTTGCAGCTCGGCCTGTTGCTGGCCGTTCGTTTAGCCCTTCTGCAAGGATCTCTGCCCAAATTCTCGCAGCAGGATAATCCTGCAGCTTTCCACCCATCATTATCCGTCAGGTAAGACATTTTTAAATTTACCTTAGTATTTATATATATACAGTCCAATATTTCCATTTCGATATACATATTTATAGTACTATATATTATTACATAAATAAATAAGTTATCAAGGAATATGTTTATTTTCCAATATTATTTGCCACGTGTACACATATAAAAATGTCTGATAAAATAATACATAAAGTGTATTAATTATGTGATAAATAGACAAATACAGTCATTTCCGCTTAATTTTTCTGGAAAAAAATTCCGTTTAATCGGGACAGTAATCTGATTAACATACATCCATAGATGTGTTTTATTTAAAATCGGAACAAAATGTACTAATTCCGATGTGTCCCGATTAAGAATTGACTCTATATATTATAGAAATATCAGATGAATTAGACCAGTGGAATATGCGTAGCAATATACTATGTAAATGTATTGGTTTTTGTCACGTCTACACAAATGCTTAAATTATATGAATTATGTAATAAATAGACAAAATTAAGTAACTTAATTAAGTAACAAAACTTAGTTTTGAATAGTATTTGCCAGGTGTACACTTATATAAATTACTTATTAAATTTTGTGTTATATCAATTATATAATAAGCATTAAAGGCTTTATCAAAAATAAACAGTAATTAATTCATTTACTTATTCATACCTATTGCAAGAAGAAACCAGCGCGCTTTCCTTTTTCAGACAAAAAATAATGGGTAACAATTTAAATTCCGAGCTGGTTATTAGTGCTGCCGGTAATTTGTAACGTTAAGTAAGTCTTTCCATTTGACATTTTCTCGAGAGTGCCCAAGAAAAATTAATGATAGACTTTAATGATTGCAGTCATGAAAATTAATCGCCGGAATAAAGAATTTTTTTTATATATGATGTTGTCATACCAGTAATAATTAATATAATAAATTAAAATTTTAAAAATAGGAATATTAAAGTAGATATTCATTAATTATACATTAGTTTATAAAATTGATACAATGTAATTTATTTAAAATAATCTTAAAAATATTTTCTTACTTCTATTTCTGATTTTGATAGAATTCATTATTAATCAAACTTATTTATTTAATATTTTTCTGCTTATAAATTTCGTAAATTTACTATTGTAAGTTATATAAAATAAGTATTTCATCATTAACTAATTTTTGTAAACGCTTATTAATATGTAAATTTAATTTTACTGGCAAATATATGTAAATATAAAATTTTTCGGAAATTTATAAACAAATATTTAATTTTATTATAAATTCTGCTTCTTTTGCGATTTATCAATTATATTTTTTTTTGGTATACACGTGTATAATTTATTCTCTTTCAATTTTCTGTGAGTACACTTAAAAAAGGTACTGCGATTTTAAACAATTCCACAGGCTTGATTAATATTCCAGAAGCAACTCGGAATACTTCCTTTTTTTCTGTAGGGACGTCGGCGGCGTCGGAACGCTAAAAAAACGAATTAAATACATTTCGTGTTCGGGCTATGTGTGTTTGTGCAATCCGGGGAGAAACGGAATGAGGGTTGTTCGGAGCGGAGCGAACCTCTACATACACACAGTAGGGGGTGTAAAATTACCTCATTGCGAGGGATGGTCCTCCTTGAAATAATATTTTCGCAAAACAATAAAATTACGAAAAAGGAACTAGGAGGAAACGAGCAAGAGAGAAAAAAACAATAATAATAATAATAATGCATGGGGATTCGTATAACGCAGAGGGTAAAAAAAGATAATAATACAACATAATGTATTATTTAAGTAGACTTTTTTAGTTACGTGCTTTACAAAATAACAAGAAAACGTGGTATATTTTTTTCTACTTATAGCTAGATACAATTATGCAATTATTTGGTTACTTAATAATCATTATTAAAAAATAAAAGTATTGTATGTGAGAATAAAATTATTAAAGTTAATACTCATTACATCATAGTTTGCAAATGCAAATAATTTGACAGTTTAGTTTACTATTATGAAACACCATGGCAACCAATCAACATACCAACAGATAATACTCTACATTTTGTAGTAGAAGAAGTATACCAATAACAAGGAAAAAAGTATTATCATTAAAGTAAATAAAAAGTTTTTTCTAACCGTATTATAGTGAATCCGCACTAACCGAAGCGAAGTATACAGCTTTTTTTGGGACTAAATTCAAAAACGAAAACTATACTCACTTCATTTATTTGTGTTCCAGTAAGCTTTACGTGATTTTATAATGTTTACATAACATTAATAAATGCTGAAACGGAATTTATATTTTGTCATAATAAATGAGAGGAAACATTCCAAAATCAACAAACTTAAATCAATTATAATACTAATAAAATAGACTTGTATGGAATGAGGAAGTGAGTAAATATAAAGGGTATAGGCTGTGAATTTATATTTGGAAAGGTTTGGAGGGTTATGAACATAATTTCCGGGTCAGAGAGGAAAATCGGCCGAGTTTAGGGATGAATTTTGTTTATGTATACAGGATCTTATTAGATAGGTTGGGTAGATGGGTATTATTACTATGGTGTCTGATTCAGGTAATCGCTTGGAGGGTTGTTCCTTCTACCAAAGCAAACGTCATTCATACCTAGTCCATGACAAGTAGGATACAATATTGATGTTCAGTTAATAATTTTGAGATAGAGAGAAAAAATAATCTATAATATGCAAACAAAAAATAATAACTTCCTAAATTTTGAAGTTTCTTAATAATAGAGAAATTTTATTTGATTCAATAGTATTATTATCAGGATTTGGATTATATAATAGTAATATGTAATGTGTAGGACTTGAAGGATTAATGGAATGAAAATAATTTCAAAGTATGTGTAATCATGAAAGTTTCAGTATTCTTTAGGGTTTGTTGTTTTTCAAAACCAGGTTTCTGAAAACCAATTTTTTTTGAAGAAATTTAAAATATAAAAATAAATTAATTATGTGATTAAAAACATAAACGTTTTTTACAGAAAATCTGCTCTGGCATAAAACGGGAATATTTTTAAATACTAAGTTTCATGAAAATCGGGAAGGAATTAAATCGTATTCTTGACTACTTAACAATAACTTTAGAAAATGCTATGGAAAAATCGACGTTCATTAAAACACTAAAAATAGAGTTTTTAGTGTTAGAGGGTACAAATAGAAGAACGAAAAAATTAAAAATCATATACAATTTTTGAATTTGTCGTTTTTCAGTAGACGAAGATCTGTAGACATTCTTTCCTATTTAATATCATCTTCCAAGAAAAAGAAGGAATAGATTAATATTTTAGTTATTTATTGTTATTAATTTTTCTATATACTTTTCCGTGAAGTAAATTTTATTAGAAATCTTTCTTGAGATTCAAAAACCGGTTTTTTTTATAAACCCTGTTACATGTTTGATGTAATGTTGACGTAACATTAGAATTGAAAAACAAGGACTTATTTATACTTGTTTCTTGTTGGTGAGGGGACTGAAAATCACCCAAATTAATGTATTTTTAAATGGTCCGTTATAAATGGCGTCGCCAATTTAAACCCCATTGTGAAATAAATTAGATTTTTTCCCGTGCTCGTCCTTCTTCCTGGGACGGCCCAGCACGATTATATTTTTAAACCGTCGGACGGAAATCCTAAACTGTTTGCTGATCTGCGAAGGGCTTCTATATATTTTTTTTGGTGCAAGTATTTTTTCTACCTCGAGCTTTGCCTCTCTCACTCGGAGTAATTAAATTAAAAGCAAACGTTTATTTTAATTAAACGGAATGATCTGCGGGAATGAGGAAATACGGTCCTGTGTATTTCGGCGTGTTGAAAAGGACGTAGCAAAGAGAGAGGAGGGATGGAGTTGGAAGGGTGAGTTGCTTGCAGAGAGGAGTGAAGGGAAGCTAGCTTGGAGATAAGATGTAGATAAAAGGTTTTCTACAATGGAAATCCATCTGGTGGATCAGACACTATACACGTATATATCCTTTGCGGTTTCGTCCTCTGCAAATATTTGGCTTCATTTTGTCCTAGTGTCAGCAGCTGCGGCGGTGGAAACGGCGCAGACTAGAAACGAGAGTGAAATGTGACTCGTACATATCCTTTGCAAACGTATTCTGGGCAATGTGAGCGAAGTTTATTTTGAAATCTCATTTATTTTAATTGCAGCTCGTCCCGTTTTCGGTGGGTGTCTGCGCGAATTGAAATTTTGCGGATTTCCGGCCGATTACACCGCAACACCGCGCCAGCACCATGTTTTATGCCCTATGTAATCGGGACCAAATAAACTACCGGACCTATTGAATAACCATACCCCACATCCAAACCGCATCATACATATATACACATTCAAACACATATCTAAATATATTTAAACAAAAAAATTGAGGAAACTAAGCTAATATATTATTTATCACATTATGTTTGTTGTAATAATTTGTTTACCTACTTTGTTTAAACAATAAGAATAATTTATTGGCCAAATATCAATACATAAGAAGAAGAAAAAAAAGTACAATTCATACATAAATAAATTTTAACATACAATAAAAAAATATATATTAATAGGCTGGCCAAAGGGCTAACGACCAAGGTCTTTCCGCCCTCAAATTTAATATTTAATAAGAAAAACAAGAAACTTTATGGGATACAATTATTGCATTTGCTAAAAAGATCCTTAATAAACATAACCAAAAATGTATTAATGGATGGAGAAATTTCATCAATCACTTCTACCAAATTACTAGTTTCCAATTCCCATTATGTATCATTAAAAATAATGGCTATATTTAGAAGTTTTAATCGTCTGTTTTAATTTTTTTGTATATTTTTAGCATTCTGTTTGTTAATAATTATAAAAATAAGCTTATTTCCCGGGATTTCGCTCCCGAGAAGAATCCATTAGATATAACATGATTTGCTCTAAACATGAATTGAGTTAACTATAGTATGTGTCAATTAATACTACTATTCTATTATTTATAACACACATTAATTTAAAAAATACAATTTTCGAGTTTAATCTAATGATGAC